TAAATGTGTGAATTAAGTGTCTGTTTTGTACATGGAAGTGAAGATGAGTTCACTTTCATGGAAATGGTTCAGTCCATCAGTTGTCTATTTAAGACAAGAGATTGTGTGTTTGATGGAGGCTGAATGCTGCAAAGCTGAATAAACCTGCTGATCCTTCCGCTTCATTTTGCCAGACAATTTCATTTTCTCACCGGAAATCGAGCCAAGAGGTTGCCTGCTTACAATTATTATTAAAATATCTGCACAGAATAGGGCTAAGGAAAGACTATACAGTAGATTATTGCACTTCACATACAGCGTAAACTTTATCGCTCAATTCTTTCAGGGGATTCAATGAAGCAAAATTCCCTCAAATAATTTCTAACAGCATTAGGGGTAGACTTTTGGTTTTACATTTACTTTTATAAATGTGAAACATTTACCCTGAATTGTTATATCTTGTAAAGGTAAAAGAAAAAATCGTTCGGAGATTTTCGTTACCAAATGGAATTTCTTCTGACCTTGTGTACTTATCTCCATTATTATTCAGCCAATTTATGACCTCTTACCAGAACATTATTACTGGACAAGAGAAGAACAAATGTTGAATTTTTTCATCTTCCTGGGAACAGAACACACATGGCTCCTACTCAAAACCAAATCTCTTTTCAAGCATTGCTGCAGCTGGATAATATCCATTTATAATTTTAAATTGTGTTTTTATTTTATTGTATTGGTCATTTCATAATTTTAATGTATTTATTTGTTATTTTGTCTTCATAGTTCCCCTATTTTTACATTTTGGTCAAATCATAAAATAAATTTCAACATTTTGCCAATATATTGTTACTTCTTTTTACAATTTAGATGAATTTGGATTAGTTGCATTTAAGGCAAATTTATTTGACTCTTCGAATACTGTAAAATATTTTGTATCATATTTAGTATTGAATTAAATGGTATTGTTTTACAAACCTTATAATCCGTTATAGAACACTGTATAATTATTTTTTGTTATAAAAACCATCAAATTAAGAAAATTACCTTAATCATCTAATATATCTGTGATATAAAAAAGATTTCCTTATTAAACCACCTTCTGAGTTTTTCTACTTATCAATTGGTTGTTCCATATGGTGGAGCCATGTGGTGCAAAATTATGAAGAAATGCCATCTTCCAGTAATAAAAAACTTGTTTATGATATTCAGACAGTTTTACTGGCTATTTGGATATCTCAAAATCACATTTCAAAAGAAACTCCAAGCCTCTGGCTTTATCAAAAATATTTTTTTGTGATATAAAACCATAAAGAATCAGGCTCAGCTAAAAAGGGTTTTTACCCAATTAACTCTTAAAAACTCCAACCACAGATTCAAAAACAATTGTTTTTAGCCCTCCTTTATCATAGTCCTTTTTTATGCTGTATGTTTTATTGTGCCAGATGAATTGGTAGATTATAGTATTTGCTTTCCTTATGTTTTGTAGACTAATACACAGAGAGTAACTTGGGTAAATTAATTAATAAATCCTTTCTGAATCCCATAATAGTTAAGGCCATTGATTCAGGTTTCTTTTCATGTCTTTAAATCTCTCTTTGATATTTTTGGATTCTCTTATTTCTAAATTTTCAAATAGATTAATGCCCAGGTTTTTAATATCTTTCTTAGCTGAAATCATCGGCAAGTTGGTCTAAGTGCAATATACAAAGTAGTATTTCCCATTTTTTTAGATTAAGGCCTGATGCACTGGGAAAAATAGAGATAATATTTCAAGCCTTCTGAACAATTGATTTGTCCTTAAGAAATATGACTGTCATCAGATTGGCTTATTTTCAATTGGTTGTCACAAAATATATCCCTTCGAGGTCTTTATTATTTCCAACAAAATAGGCCATATAATATAATGAATGAATAATTATGGTGAAATTGGGCATCCTAGTCTTATTTCACAAGACACATTGATTCTTAGAGTTATGCCTGATTGAAGTGAGTACATTTGGTTATAAAGCATTCTGATCACCTTACAGAAGTTGTTGCCAAATCCCCCAAAATTGAGTGATTTCAGTAAAAAATCATGTTCGACTGAATGGAACGGCTTGAAAAAAATCCCAAAACAATTTATGCTTTCTGTGTTAAGTTTCAGGTAATCTAACATATAGACAATTAGTCTGACATTGTTATAGAAGTGTCCACCTTTTATAAAGATGGATTGAAATTAATCTATTAACTTGTTCAAAATTTATTTTACTCTGATAGCATAAACCGAGGCTAGCAGTTTATAATCATTACGGAGTTATAGGTCTCCATGTAATAGTAAAGTCTTTATTGGGTTTGGGCAACAAGGTTATCAGACCAGTGTTCATTGTAGGGGATAATTGGCCACTTTTATTTCAATCAAGATACACGTTAAATTATACATTTTGTCAATTTCAAGTTTCAATTTCGTTCAGGTTATGTTATCTTTCTCCATTACATTATTATTTACACTTTTCACAAAGGCATTACAATTTTTTCCTTATATAGATTGCTATATAATTGACATACAGCCTCTGATATGTGATTTTTGTCTTGAATGATATTTCCATTTTGGTATAATTTCGTTAAATAATTTTAGGTCTGTCTCTGTTTTTAAAGAATATCAACATCAGAGTAACCCCCCCCCCCCCCCCCCCAATGGCTTTTGATCATAAAAAGGCACCTCTTGCCTTCTCCAATAATGTATTATCTAATTGGCTCTAGGATATTTAAAACTGTTGTGCTTACTCTACACTTATGCTATGTTTTCCACATAATAAACTTATCTTTTCAAAAACGTATTTTTTCCTTTTGTTTCAATTTACGGTTGTCTGCTATTTTCTTTCCAGTTTCAATAGCCTGCTGCTTAACCCTGTATTTAAAACACTCCCATTTACTAATACACCACAAATCTATGTGTTTAGTTTCATAACATATTGTTTCAATCTGGTTACAGAATCAAAGTATTTTTAAATTTTCCATTTCTGTTTGAATTTTTTTTTATTATCTTTTCTATTGAGAGAGACAAGCCAATGAGCCAATGATCTGTGAGAGGAGAGGATTGAATATCACATTCTGCTGTAAGATTAGTAATATTTGACAGAAGCCAATAATCGACCCTTAAGCATAGGTGAATATCTGCTGACCTGATCCATGTCAATGACATTACGTTAGAGTGGCCAGTAGTCCACAAAACTATAAGATAAACAAAATGTGTGAATTGTCACTATATTCTTGCTGTGAACCCTTTGGAGGTTTTCTGTCAAGTCTGGAATTATGTTGAAAATAACCTCATGTTATGTTATCCATGCCATAAGTTGCACTCCATTCTGTAATAGCTTTAAAATCACACCCTGTGTGCAAAAAAAGTAAAGTTTGTCTAAGTCTAATAAAGTCTAAGTCAGGGAGGACTGAGTAAGCTGAAGCAGAGCCTCCCCGTGAGGCTTGTTTGGGCCTGCAGGGGAACCCACTGCAGCCTGATTGCTTAATCCATGGCTGAACTGCATGCTTCAGTCGAGTGGTTAGTGCGCACCATCCATCTAAAGAGGCCTTAGACCCGAGTTTGAGTCCGACCTGTGATCCTTTGCTGCCCCTCTCTCTTAACCCGTTCCAACCTGCTATCAAAGAACGAGCCACTAGTGCTGCAAAAACTGGGGAAAAAAAATGAAAAAAAGGGGGCTGAGCTACAATTTTTAGCATCGTTACTTTAGTTAAATGATAGTATAAATTAAAAATGTACAAAAGATTTTTTCACTTAGGATTTCAACTTCCATATTTAGTACATAACATGTGTGATGATCCTCATATCAGGCCAAGTTAGTGTTTCCCACTGGTGGCGTTTCAGCCATTGGAGCCCTTCTCATGGAAGGCCCAGAAGCAGTTCCTGTTGTTGTTCAGGCAAAGGTTCACTGAGAGAAGTGGCTGACTCTGCAGTGCTTGCATCTCTGTCGGATTCCCCACTTTGGAATGTGATCCAGTCCATCTGTTCTCACATCCAGAGGTACAGCCAGGGCGCGTCTTTTCCTGGGGACACACGTCTCCCGCCCTGCAGAGCAGCAACACAAGCTGGAGATCTTTGCAGCAGACATGGTTTCATCTTTGCTCTGCTTTAGGCAGAATGAATGCACCCGTTACAACAGGAGATCATATTCAACGTCAGACGTCCCAAGTTCCAAAAACTCATTTCAGGGAGATGCGTGTCATACATCAACCCCCCCACCCCCCCACACACACACACACACACACACACACACCCACACACACACTCCTGGGACAACGGACCCGCAACTTCTCAACTACCGTTTATTAACTAACAGTCATTTTTTAAACACTAATCAGAACAGTACTGGTCTTTTATTTTTAATACTTTCAATCTTGTAGCCTTGAACATCGGTTGTGCTTTCTGTTTTTCATGCTTCAGCATACAGTGCACCTCGCCACGGTGTCATCATTCCTCACCATGGCCGGTTCTAGAATAATGGGGGCCAGTTCCCCTGTAGATCATCTCCTGGCCCCTGTACTGAAGACATACGGTAATACTTAAAACAAATTCTAATGATGATGCGCTGGAACAGACATGATTACTGATGGGTCCTTTGGATCTATTTAATTCTTTTCATTACAAATTCTGTTTTACTAATTATTCAAAAACAATAAGGTGATAGCTTCAGTGGGATTGAGATAGGAATTTAACAGTTTTTCTTGAATTCTAATTTAAATGTGATAGAAAACGTTAGTTTTAACTTAAATTAAGTCAAAAATTCTAAATGTATATTGACCTCAAAGGAAATACAATTTTTATTGAACCTAATTGAAAAGAACTTTCCCTTCATGCAGCTCTCCTAATATATTTGAATCTCTTTCCTAGTTTTTTATTTCATGCTTTTTTGGGCCCCCATGAAAACACGCTGGCCCCCTCCTGGCCCCCTGGTACATTTGGTCTAGATCCGCCACTGTTCCTCCCCTTCACTAGACGTGGATATACTTTAGTATATTCTGCTGTTAAATTAGTCCTATATTTTCATTTTTTCCTCGAGGATTGAACCTCTGCCATTTCCCAGGATGCACAGCTTTGAGTGGTAACTAGGTGACTGCCAGAGAGTAACCCAGAGAAACTCACTCGCATTAAAAAAACTCCACCTCCCATAGTCTAAAATTCGGGATAATTTATCTGACTCGCTGGAATCCGTGTAGACCTTTCTATATCAGGGAGACACCCGGAACTTCCCAGAGACTTGTGATGTCTGCAACGTCCAAGGCAAAGCTTTCAGAGTTTCTTTCATTTATTCAACATGTTTTCTAACGTACAGTCCTTCACAAACTGCCCTTAAAACTGTTACATTTTCAAACACTGACTATTTAAAACATCCATCAAAATTACAGCATTAGTCCATTGGATACTACAAGATAAATAACAGCTTTTCGTAACGGTGCAAGCAGCCATCTTGGATTCTTTAAAATAAAGCTGCCATGCACGAGTTGTTCTTGGATTTGCCACTAGGGGGCACTGGACACATTCCTGATTCATACCAGTTTAACATAAATATCCGCTTTCTCTGCTTTAAGTTGCAGCATCACACCTTTAAACTCAAAATATGTTTCAGATTAGTTAAACTACAGCCTTGCTCATATTTAGGCTTATTGCTCCAGTTTTTATGTTGTTATCTTGAATTCTTAAATAATAATTTTTCCCTTTTCCACTATTTCTGAAGAAGGAATAGTGGAAAAAAACAGACATGTCTGACAGACTGGTGTTGTGGTTCATTTAGAGTTTCAGTCCTACCAGTTCAGATAAGGGGCTCATATATAACAATGTTCGGGATTAAAAAAATACTAAATGATAAACTGAACCTGACTAAATTGATAACTAGGATCCAACAGGAAACTGATTCGGATCCATCTAAACGGATTCGAGTGACTTTAGGACTGGATCCTTTCAAATGAACTAAAAGAATCTATTTTAGACAAACATTGTTATCAAGAAAAGATAATTTAAAGTAAAACTGTACATAGAAAATGTCAGAGGGGTCTTCAGATAAAGCAGTACAGCTGGTTTAACCCTTTCTGAAGGTTTCTGTGATTCATTCTCTAAATCTGCAGCCTGAGAAGCGCTGCAGTTAAATTTCTTTTACAAGAAAATCTGGCTGTTGAAAAAAACAGTTCCCCCTCCAACTCTAACTGTTGTTAGAGAAGCTCTCTGGCGTGTGAACCTTCATGTGCTGCAGCAGGTAACTTCTCCTGTTGAAGCCCCGCCCACACAGAGCACAGGAAAACATCCTGTCCCCGGTGTGTGTGACAGAGTGCTGTTTGAGCGAGGACTTGTCCGTAAAGTGCTTCCCGCATGTGGAGCAGACATAGGGCCTCTCTCCTGTGTGGCTCCTGCAGTGGACCATCAAACTGCTCCTGTGTTTGAACACCTTCCCGCACGCCTGGCAGGAGAAGGGTGCCTCGTTGGTGTGGGTCCTCATGTGGACCCGTAGGTTGGACTTGAAGGTGAAGGCTTTCTGGCATGTGTGACAGGAGAAGGGCTTCTCACCGGTATGGATTCTGTAATGAGCCCTCAGCTCAGACGCTTTGTTGAACACTTTTCCGCAAACGTCACATTTCAGAGTCCGATCCGCTCTGTCAGCTTTCCTAGGCTTCTCACTGCTCCTGGTTCTGTTCGGCTCCGTGTTTCCCACAAAGTTCCTGGACCTGCTTCCTCCCTGATCTCGACCGTCAGCTCCAGAAATATTGTCAAACAGAAACCGATCGCTGGGTTCTGGTTCAATGAGGGAACTTCCTTCATAGTTCAGAGCTATCATCAGAGTGTCTGTCTCCTTCTTCAGGTCCGGCCGCTCTTCCTCCTGGCTGACGCAGTGCTCCTCATCTTCCTCTTTAACATGCATCAGTTCTGGTTTGTCCTGATTGGAGCTCTCCTTCTGGGTCCTCAGGTTCTGATCAGCAGGACATCCCTCCTCCACAAAGGGAAAAAGCTGTGGCTGGTCTAGAGACAGAAAGTGAGTCAAGTCAGATCACAGTTCATGTTCTGATGCACTTTGAGTTTTAACCACTTGATTGGGCCTGGACCAGGAACTGGTCCTGCAGAACCTTCCTGATGTTTCTTTATCGATCTTATCCCCTAAAACCAGAACTTTGGATTGAACCACTCCAGCTGAAGCCCTACAGTCACTGTGAAAACTAAGTACAGTCCAGTTCAAGGAAGCAGATGTTCTGCTGCTCAGCCCTAAAGCACTGAACACAGTGATTGGTGCGACTCTTTAACCTCCAATCTATTTTTTTTTCCATGTCTCACTGACTGCATATAGAGAGGCTCTGCCTAGGCAGGGTGAGCAGAACTGTGCAGATTTATTTCACTTCTGTCTTTGTGCTATACACACATTAAAACTATTTCCCACATTTGACTTGAATAGATTGATTATAAAAAACAAAAAAATGAAAAACCACTGCCAAAGGCAGAGAGGTTTTTCTAAGACAGAGATCAGAGAGATACGCCGTGCTTCACCGCTCCGTCTTCCTCTCATCACATGCCTTTCCTCCGGCAGAAAAAACTGTTTTCACCTGCAAGCGACCTGCATTTAAATAGCCTCGGCTCCAGTGTCATAGCTTTGAGTTTTTGTCAATGAGATGGGACTAAATAAAAATGATAGGGTCAGAGGTTAGTTTCCTGTTTGGTCACCCTGGCGTGCAGCGGTGCACATTCTGTATGACCACAGAGGGATCATAGCACCAGCAGCATTGGTCCGGTACTGCAGGCTCAACTCACAAATGATGTTCTCCAGCGGTGTTTGTGCAGAAATGCGTCTTTGTGCGGTTTAGGTCAGAGTCTGCGCTTCACGCGCCACACTGATGGTTCTCTACAGTATGGCTCTTCCTGCTTTCGCTACTTAATAAAACATATGAGGCTGATCATCCTCTGCCAAGCATAAAAATTCTATCAATATTTTAGTTCTTCCTTAACCTTCTTTCATTTTTAATCCAAAAGGAATCCCTGAATTACTATATCCAAAGAAAAGATTTTATTCCATTGTGGGGTTTTTTTTGGATAAAGACCCAGATGAAAGGGTACATAGATCTTTGAATATTTCTCTCTCATAGTTCTGGTTTCTATTAAAATGTTATGTAAATGTTTCCTTGTATTGTCATTAAACATTTTCTCTGTTTCCTTTCAATATGTCAACATTTCAGTTAGCATATTCTTTCAATTTAGGTCTGGATTGTTGCGGCATTACAAGGAATATTATTATTATTATATCAAAACCCTGTGTATTTAAATCTACTTTGACCCCTGAGCAGCAGGAACCGAGGGGCAAATTGAGGAAATAAAGCCAAAATTGCAGACGCAGAAAGAAAAATTTTTTTGTTCTTTGCTTTTTTGAAGCAATGGATATTTTATTGATATGTGTTTAATGCATAATTCATAGTAGATCAGGAAGTGTTTGCTTTGAGATGGAAACCTTATACTAAAACTATTCCTTTATTGCACATTTTGTTAGCTTGTCTGTCTGCTATATTAACCAATATGATGTGTTGCACTAGGTCTATTTTCACTGCTTTTGTAAAACACTTTTTTTTTATAAAAAAAAATTTATTTGAATTCTATAAATCAAAGTTTTCTGCTCAACAGCAATGATGAACTACACGACAGCACTCTATACCCAGCTATGGTAGCATCTAGGATAGAGCTGTCAGTCTGGGAAAGAATCTGGTTGTTATTTAATATAGTAAAGGTTCACTTTTTTTGCAACATAAAACTGACTAAAACTAGACTAAAACCTTTTTAAGTTTTAGTCGACTAAAACCGACTAAAACTATCAGATATCGTAATGACTAAAATGCGACTAAGACTAATGAAAGTTTTAAACTGAAGACTGCAGCCATTTCTCACTATGTGTACTTGTGCGTTCTCGTGTTCTCGTGAAATGTCTTCAGTCTCAGCCCTAATACTGTTGCAATTCAAAAGAACAAGATGACTGAAAACAGACCAAGTCCCTGGATGTTGTTCTCGCCCCTCCCTATTTACCGGGTTTGACCTGTCTGTTTTTGAGATTGCCTGCTGTCCCAGCATGCACTGAGGCAGCAGCAGCTTCCAGGTTAGCGCTCACAGAGCTCAGAGTATTAAGTTAAAAGTTCTCTTTTCTGTTGCTGTTATTGAGTAAAAGTAAGTTTTAAGATCATTTGACGCAGAATAATATACTTTAAAGCATCACTATATGGCCCATTTAGCGATGTAATGCGTAATAAAAAAAAAATCTGAAGTTGAGAGGACCGCGGCAACCAGCGGAGCTCTGAGGCTAACGGTAGCCAGGGCTACCCGCAGCCCGTCTGCAGCGGCCCTCTCTGCATAGACGTGTGTGAAGCACCGCTGGCTCTGATGGAGATTTCTTTGTTGTATTTGGCAAAATGTTCATTTGATTTGTGTTTAACTGACTGTGTTCTTTTTTATTTCCCCAATAAATGAAAAAGTCAGTATCTATTATTATCAGAAGACTATTAATAACAGGAAGTGAAAAGCAGCTCTACACAAGCTGGGCATGTGGTGACATCTTGAGTATGCTTCTGTTCCAATCGACCCATATTTATGCTGTTTTGCAGACTTGGCAAAAACACGAGTCTGTACTGGCATTCTAGTGAATTGAGAAACGGCCTAAGACTAAATGTAGTCTTTGTTCACTTTACACAGGGTTCCTACAGCATAAGGCAAGTTAAATTCAAGACTTTTTAATGCCACTTGAAATAAAAATTTAAGACCAAATTTACAAGAAAAACCCGCTTCCGACACCTTAACATAAACCACTGCACTGTTTCAAATGTTGAAAAGCTTCCCATACAGGAAGAAAGCTAAAAACACACAAATGACAGATACATTTTAACAATTATTTAACTGAATTCACAAACTTTGTTTTAGCAGGGAACAAAACAAATCAGTTTTAAAGCCACAACATAACCAGTGCGAAGTCTTTTTTGCAGCTATTTTTCTTTGTATGGTTTTCTTAGAATGTTTGATTTGGTGATAAGTGGAGGCGTGGCAGAGACAAGGGTGGAACTAAACTGATGAAAGACCCGTTTCTCGGTAACTCCATTTTGACGCTTTGTGTTTTGTGCTTTGCATGTGACTCCACTGCCTTAATTCCCATTGTTCAAAGATTGATTTAGAATGTTTTTAGAGCATAAACAGTAGTGTACAGGATTTCCTGAAAGCGCGCACATGCGCGCTTACGACGCTACGGAAGCCGGCAGACCAAACCAGCGCATTCAGCTTGGCAAAGAACTCATGCTCTTCCTCAACACTGAAGTCCTCAGACATTTTTCTTTCGTTGTTTCTTTCTTTGCACAGGTAAACAGCACATTTCTTCTTCTACGCTTGCATTATTGGCAGAGCAGACGCTGAATGCGCACTTTCATCTGGCTTGGTCTGCCGGCTTCCGTAGCGTCGTGAGCGCGCATGTGCGCGCTTTCAGGAAATCCTATACACTACTGTTTATGCTCTAAAAACATTCTAAATGACTTTGTTTCGAGTAAATTCTGGATGCTACCCACTCAGGACACTTGGAATACATTGGACGAGCAGTATGGAGGAATATTGACACGTTTTTTGTGGACTTTTATGGACCTTTCTGTCTCGGTCACCATAGACCTCCATTATTTGAATGTCAGCAGACAGCAAGAAGCCTCCCAGATCTCCAGATGCATTTGAGATATCAAAAAAGTACTCCAGAGTGTTGTTCAGCATGGGGGTGAGTAGAAAATGAAGGCTAATCATGTTTTGGGTGTACTATTCCTTTAAGACATTTTAATACCAATTAAGGCCTTAGTTTTATTTTGAAGAATTCAATGACTTTTAAGACTTTTTAAGGACCCGCGGGAACCCTGTTACAATAAAAAATAAATAAATAAACAGTTTTGAAAACTTCAGTATTCCTTCTTTTCCTGCTTTGTGTTTCGACCGTCACGGTTGCTAAGCAACATAGCCTACAGCAGTAAAACCCGCCCAAGGGTAGACCTGTTTAAATTCACAGCCAAAACTCTTCCGGTCTCCTTATTTTCAAGGACTTGGAAGGATCCAGTCCAGGTAGACCGCGTCCTTGGAGGATGCAGCCCATGAATTCCAACAGAGCCTATGTTCCTCCCTCTAGGAGGAACAGGAAGTTAGTTCCTTCCCTTCGGAGGGATGGTAAGTTCCTCCAAGAGGTCTGGGTCTTGAAGACATGAATTGAACCAAGGTGGAGCCATTTCACCCTGCCGTTTTGTTTATCTGATTAATAGAGAGACAGCAAGCTCAATTCGTGGCAGAGGCAGTGCTGCGACAGTTCCGGTTGCTCGTCGGCCTGACACGGCTTTAATACTGGCACTGCGTATTACTGGCCGCAGCCAGCAACTTATTTTTTCATTTAGTTTTTTTATTTTTTTTTTTATTTTTTTTTTTGCCATTTTTCGGCAAATTACTAATTTATAGTGCCTCTAAGTAGATAGTTTTTTTGTTTTTTTTATATTGTGATGTTATTTCTTAATAACCTACATTAAAATGTTTTATATATATTGTGATGTTATTGCTTAATAACCTGCATTAAAACTTTTATATTGTCACATTTACTTGATGGAACAAAGTAGTTTATCTGCCAATAAGTGGCCTCTGCTCGCAGCGGCCACGACACAGCCACTCAGGAAAGCCGGACTGTCACCGAGTGGCTGTGTCATGGCCGATGGTGGCCGCTGCCGACAGAGCCTGCCACCGGAGTGGCCGCTGCCGGAAGAGCCTGCCACCGGAGTGGCCGCTGCCGGAAGAGCCTGCCACCGGAGTGGCCGAAGGTGGCCGCTGCCGGCAGAGCCTGACTGAGAGTGGCTGTGTAGTGCCCGGTGGTGGCTGGTGCTGGCAGAGCCTGCCAGCGGGTTGCTGCGTTGCGACCAGTGGTGGCCGGTGCCGGCAGAGCCTGCCAGCGAGTGGCTGCGTAGTGACCAGTGGTGGCCGCTGCAAGCGGAGCCAGACACTGGATAGGCCGCTGCCGGAAGAGCCTGCCAGCAGAGTGGCCGCTGCCGGAAGAGCCTGCCACCGGATTGCCTGTGTAGTGGCCGCTGGTGGCCACTGCCAGCAGAGGCCACTTATTGGCAGATAAACTACTTTGATCCATCAAGTAAATGTGACATTATAAAAGTTTTAATGCAGGTTATTAAGCAATAACATCACAACAAAAAAATCTACTTAGAGGTACTAAGCCAGTAATACGCCGTACCAGCCAGTTCTAAAGCCGTTTCATGTCACAATGAGCCAACGAGTCATCGGAACTGCCGCAATGCTGCCACAAATTGAGCTCGGCCCTGCTGCATTAATATTATACTGTAACCACCAATGCTACAACTGTTTCATAAGTGAAGTCAGTGAGATTAAGAATTTAGCAGACTCATTGTAATCCAGATTACAATCTGTGGTCCACAGCGGTGACATGCTCACCATGCTGGGATTTCACGATGGTTAGGGCCATAGGGCCTCTGGACATGACAGCATATCACTGAGGAACGGACTGAAATGTTTTTTTAACTGTTATTTGACAATAACAAACATTACAACTGATTTCTTTTTAGACTGCAGTCGATTTTGTCTTTTATCTGATACCCAATTTGGCAAAAAAAAAAAATAATAATAATAATAAATACAGGACAATTAATCATATTCTGAGGATGTCCAGTGGGCGGGTCGGCTGACTGTAAAGGAGTGGACACACAGCTGAACTCCATGTCACTACGTTGGACTGTCCTGCAGGCCCAATGGACACCAGGATCGGATGGGATTCGCTGGAACTTTCCCAGAGGATGTGACCGTTTCGGTCTGTCTAAGCCACCGTGGATAGAAAGCCCATGTAGCTGCGTTATTTCCACACTGACCGGACAACTCGCAGGCCCTCTGCAGACCTACTGACCTGTTTCCTGGAAGCTGCTGTCCGGTTTCCAGCTGTCTTCCAGCAGTCTCCGCTGATGGTCCATCTGCTGCTCGTACTGGACGATGGTTCTCTCAAACACCCCAAAGATTTCCTCGGCAGCAGCAGTTAGCCGCTCACTGATGAACTCTCTCAGATGCTGAACTGAATACATGCTGGAATGGTTCTGCTCCATCACGGCTGGACGGATAGCCGAGCAACACAATAGAAGCTAGCTGCTGTTAGCTGTTGACGTCACGTGACCAGACCACGTGACGTGCCAACGTAGTTGTTTTCAGACGATGGCCACTCATTTTTATTTACTTAGCTGCTGTTTTTTTTTCCCCATAATTGATTTATATATATATATATATATATATATATATATATATATATATATATATATAT